CAGTTAGAGCTCGGTCTCCTTTTTCAGAGGGAAGTAGCAATTTCTTAATTTCTTTGTGTTCTGGGGTAAAGGCAGACACGTTATCCAGGCTTGGACTGTTGCATTATATTGTGTTCTGGGCAGGGAATCTGCAGCAGACCCGGGGAGAGCTAATGCACCACCTGCCCGCTGTTATCAGTCAAGTTTGGTTAGAGAACGCGCTGTGTCCGCATTAGCTGCAGATGTCCTTCGCTGCGTTCGCCCACAGAGCCACCCCAAGGCTCTTCGGGGGCGGCAGATTTGAATTTTGCCTCCTCAAGGATGAGCATCTGAAGCTGGGCCAAAGCTTCGTTTCCTGCTGGCGAGAGAAAGAGGGATGGGGGAAGAGGCGCGGCAGGGCTTGAGGGCTCCGGCTTGCTTTTTCTGCTGCTCCGGGGGCAGCAGGAAGAGGCTGGTGGTGCGTGGCTGCTGCCAGGAAAGGCTAACCTCTAGCTGGAGACCACAAACCCTTGGTGACAGTGGCCAGCCCGGTTTTCCAAGGCCACGGATAAAATAAGCAACGACCTAAGACAGCAGACAGCGGAGGAGACAGAGGGTCACAGTCCTGCTGCTTGCTCCCTGTTGTGTTGGACAGAAGGATTTTTGTTCTGTGGTGGGAATTGCACTCTAGCTTGCTTGCTTAAGCAAAAGATGGCCAGTGCTTTAATTTACATCCCACCTGGGGATCATATCTCTCAGCAGGACAGGAGGGGTTTTTTTCCCCCAAGATCTGACTTTTGAGGGAAACAAATTTCCATGACAGAGGATGAAAATTTTTCTTAGGTGGATCTTCCAACTTCTGGTTTGTAGCTACACTAATTTGTGGGTGAAGGAAATATTTTGGTACTGAAAACTTGCCAAAATGCTGTTTAATAGGGAATTACAGTTTAATTACCACTTATGAGACATTAACAATAATTGTATTCAATTTGGCCACTCAGGATAAAGTGTGATTCAGGATCAGCTGGTTGGTGCTCTGGCAAAAAAAAAAAAAAAAATAAAAAAAAATACAAACCCAAACAAAAAAAAACCCAAAGCAACAAACAAAACCAGAAAGAAAGAAACATTGCTGTGTGGTCTGGTGAATATGTGCCATTAGCTTTGTGTTCATAGGTAGAAGTTTTTGTGGGTGTTTGACTCTCCATTTTTTTTTTTTTTTTTTTTTTTTTCCACCATGAGGTATTGTTGTGCTGGTGTGGGAAAGCATAGAAGGAACTTGTATTAACTGGAGGGAAATGGTTTGACTTCGAGTTCATGCTTTTGCAGGGAGCTGGATTAGAGTTTATGCCTGCTATCTCTTCTGCTGTGATTTTTAGGAAAAGTGCCAAAAACTTTAAAAATTTTTTCCATTTACTTATTTATGCTTTGCTTTGCCAAGGAATGAGAAAGCCTGCCACTTTTAGCAAGTGTGTGAACAAGAAAGGCAAGGGAACCCAGGGTGAAATTTGACGTGGTGACTTGTGTACGATGCAGGGATAGCCATATAAACATCCCTTGAATCCCTTTTTATTTTGCAGCAGCGTTCATTATGCTCTCTGAGTTTGTGGCTGTAGGTGAAAACAGAGTGCTACAACGCGATTGTAGTTTCAAAGGCTGGCTGAGAACAGAGAAAACAAACTCTATGCAATTTAAGTGCCTGTTTTGTATGTAGGCTACCACACAAGCCCAGTATATACACCAGTATGATGTAAGGCAGTGGAGATGACCTGATTAGCAAAACCCTTGTAAGGAGCTGAGGAGATCCCTGCTGCATCAGTGCACCCCTCCTTGGAGACCTGCGACTAGTCCCAGCTGAAGGAAACCTTCCCGCAGCAACAAGAGCTAGGGAAGGGTTTCTGAAAATGGCAACGACAGTGCTCTGTGTGTGTGTTAAGGTGAGGGAAGGAAGAAGAGTAAACAGCCGGCGCAACTTTGCAAGGTAGCTGGCTTATGAAAGATGCGACATGAATTACTTGGGCTTTGTGAGCTACGTTTGCAGGAGCCGTGGAGCACTGCGTGTTTGGGGAGGTTGCATTTCAGCAAACGGCTTGCTCCGTTTTGTTGTGCTGCTTATCCTGTTGGATGAAAGCCATCATTCATCAGAAAGAAACGCTAGAGCAGGATAAAGTAAGTGATCTTCCAGTTTGTAAGCTCTTGCAGCCTTGCTTTCATACGTGCTGAGCAGGCAGAGGTCCACAGACTTGAATGGAAACTCGTGGTGCTCGGCACTTATTACAGTTGTTTTTTATTCTGTGTCAGAGAAACAGAGACAAAAACTTACATTAGTATGAAGACACGTAAGATACAAGTTTTTCTATCTCTCTCGTGAGTACATATAAATATACACAATTGGTATGAGGTTTTTTGGTTATTTTGTGCATTACTGTATGTGGAGAGTGCTCAAGCTTGTGGCAGCAACGCGGGGTTTTAGGTGAGGAGCACAGGGCACTGTTTCTGGCTCTACTCTGGCTACTTGTGTGGCCAAGTATATTAAATCCTGCTCCAGAAGACAGCAAACCGTTTATTCAGGCTTCATTCTCAGACTTGCTGAATACCCCAAAAGGCTGCTATTATTAGAGGGAACTGCCATTCCTTAGCTCTGAAAGTGGACTGTCCATAAATCACCAACGTGTGCTTTCCACAGGGAGGTGGGACTGGGACCTCAGCTTTCTCCCTGCCAGCCCGTGGAGCTGGCAGAGCTCCCACTCTTCCAGCCCCTCTGCCGAGGGTGCGTCCTTCTGGTCAGGAGGTCTGGTGATGGCTGTGCCACCCCCCCATGCCTTGGGCTCTGCACAAGCTTCGGGTGGCTTCCCATCGCTTCTCTTGCTGCCGTGGTGCGGCAAGCTCCCTCGCCTTTGCCAGGCAAGCAGCCTCCTGTTGACCTGTTTCTGCCATTCTTCCTCCCCTTGTTGAAGGTGGTGGCGACCTCGCAGAAGAAGCTATTAAGAAAATGATATTTTGTCCTTGGGGTGTGTGTGTGCGTGATCGGCAATTCCATAAAGTTTTGGGAGTCTTTTTCACAGCCACCAAGAGGTTGCTGTCATCCACATATTCCCACTGTGTCTGCTGTTAGTACCAGGATTAGCACTGTGGAACAGAGAGCTGTCCCGGGGGGACTGTGCTCTTCCACCACGCTGGGTGTAGGTGGGGATGGCCATCCCATACCCAGGCCAGCACGGCCATGCACTGCCCCCGGGCACCGGCTGGGGCCAGGTCGCAGTCAAGCTCTAAGTCTGTGCCATTGTTTCTTTTTTTGTAAACAATAAATGCATCTCTGTAGCAACAAAAATATCAATTCCCTTCTATAAATGAAGCGCTCAAACATTTTGTAGTTACAGACCGTTTTGATGTCGGTGCCTGTGCTGATCTGGATGTGTCCTTGGTCTGGATGTGCTTTGCTGTAATAGTACTTTCATTCCTTAGCTCCCATTAGTGCCTTGATGAATAGTGGAAGATGTGTTTCAACAATTTTATGATTAAAAAGCAGCATCTTACCGTTGTTTGGTCTCTGGTGTCTTTACCCTGTTCGCTATGCTTTGCTTAGGAGTAACAGCAGTGATTTAGAGTTGCGACATCACCACCAGTCTCTGAACCTTGTATTTTCTTTAACCGTAAATTCTGGGGAAGGAGGAGAAAGCCGGATGAAGGAGGAAGTCTAAGTAGTAGGGGCTGTTGTTGTTCTTAACATTTCCAGGCCAGCTGTTTGAAACTGCGATGCCTTACAGCCATCAGACACATTTACTGTGAACTCTGTGGTTGGGTTCCCGGACAGGGGCCCCGTGGGCTGCTCTGGAGCACACCTGGCCGGCGTGTGGAGACACCGGCCAGGCCCATGGCATGCGCTTGCCCTCTGGGTCCGCTGCTGTCACTGGCACTCGTGCTAATGGCCTTAGTACAGAGGTCAAAGACTGCTTAGATATGAAGGCTGAATCACCTCCTTTTTAAACCCCTCAGCAGGATCAAGGCTTAGGGAAGCAGGCACGTGGGCTTGCCTTCTGGCTGTCAGTGTGGATCGAGAGTGTGGCTCGGGGACAGGCCTTTCAGCAGTTTCAGCCAACCCTTGAGGCATTGAAATGGGGGTGTCTGGTGAGTAAAACACCCCTGCACCGACACCCCTACATGAAAAAGCCCGATGCATTCATTTTCTTTAAAGATTTGTGGATTCCCACAAGCTCTTGATAGTTAGAGATTTGTCCTGTGACCTGAGGATCACAGAAATCAGTGGTGAGCCCGTCAGTCTAACCAGGCAGATAAGAAAGATCTCCGACTGCCCTTATTTCACTTGCAAATATAAATAAGCCAGCAGCATAGGTCTCGCTTCGGACCTGTTTGCCTTGGCAGTGTCCCATTTACGTGAATCAGAAGATAGTAGCAAAAAAGCACTGGAGGCTTATCCAGAGATTGGTCTCCCCTCCGTCAGGAAACCTGCCCGTGCAGGCAGGATGATTTGGAGATTACTGACACAGCCCACAAGCCTGGCTTCACTAGGCTCCTGCGTTTTGAACAGCCCTGCCTGCGAAGGGTGCTTGCTTCCAAGAGCTGTGGTGGTGCAGCGTCCTGTCTTTGGAAACTTTGTGTGTTGGTGCACTAGCTCAAGGCAGGAGAGACCTGGAGGAAGCAGCTCTGGCTATGTCCTTTGCTCTTGTTATTCGAGCTCCTTGAAAGGAAGGGAGCTCCTGTGTTTCACGCTAAGAAGCAGGAGGTCGGTTCTTAAGCCTGCTGCATATCTGTAATTTTTGGTAGGTCTCTGGATCACGCTGTGCCTTAGTTTCTGAGCTGTAGAACAGGGATAGAAATTAGGAATTTAAAACAAACCAGCAAACAAATAAGGCCCTGAAGAAATATGCAGGTGTATCTTGTGGTGCTATCACCACCACAAGACCCTCATGTTGGTTTGAGCTTCGGGGCTGTGCTTTAATATTAATAATACTAGAAATTTATCATGATATTATCAGTTGGGAACATAGAAAATACACTTTTAATTTTTTTTTTTTTTTTTCCAGCAAATTCAGTAAAGCTAGAAATGCAAAGTGATGAGGAATGTGACAGGAAGCCCCTGAGTCAGGAAGATGAGATCAGGGCTCACGATGAAGGAAGCAGCCTGGAAGAGCCCCTCACTGAGACTAACGAGATGGCGGATAACAGAAAGATCCAGGAGCTATCGAGCGAGGGAGGAATCCGGCTTCCGAATGGTAAACTGAAATGTGACGTCTGTGGCATGGTTTGCATTGGGCCCAATGTGCTAATGGTACATAAAAGGAGCCACACTGGTAAGCAGCTGAAAGAAAATCTGATGACTGCCTGTGGCGTCTGATGTTGATATTACCTGCCAACTCTTCTCTCTTCCCTTTTCGTTCGTGGGGTAGCAGGAGGCTGGGGAGGGGAAAGACGGGCTTCATTGGTTTGCTTTTCTTCCTGCTCCCCAAATTCTGGTGATGCTGTGTTTCTGGCAAGCATGATGCTTCCTTAACATTGATTTCCAGCCTTTGGCTCTCAAACAGCACAAAAGTCTGGAAATTGCCTTTTTTACTGCTCTTGACCAGGGGTAAGATGATGAGAGTCTGGCATGGGGAGGGTGTGTGTGTGTTCATGTGTGTGCGCATGCGCAAGGCTTTTGAGCTTCTGTGGTGAGTCTTAGATGGTCTCCCCTTGGAGGTGCTCGTGGGCGGACAACGCAGGCAGGTTCCCCGGGATCTCACACCTCCTTTGCAAGCGGCTGGGCACGATGCTGGTGGGCTGGCAGACCTGGGATTGGCAAACCCCGCAGGGGACACTCTCTACCTAGCGATCCTGGTGCCAGGGTGGGCTTGCTGCTCATCCCCTGACAGCTCCAGCAGGGAAACCTCGCCCGAACCGCTCTCGGGGGCTAATGCTTGTCTCACCCTCACCATCCAGATATCATTTTTGTGGCATCTTTCAATGTTTGCACGCTTCTATCATTTATTTTTATTACTATTAGTACCACTACTGTTTGGAGACCAAACCAGTTTACTAGGCTTACGGATTTGAGAATTCAAGAGGCAGACAAAAACCTTTGTGATATGCTGATTGAGCGGGGTCTTTGGGGCCAGAAAGATGAGGCCCCGAGTTCAAAACAGGGATTTTGAGGGGAGTTTTGGCTAATATGGCAAACTGGGGTGCTTAAGAGGCTGGTGCTCACTCGCCTCTGCTGTTCCTCAGGGGGCAGTGACAGTTACCTCCCACAGGATAAAAGTACAGATGGTGCCTGAAGACAATGCTCTCTGGTCTTGCAGAGGTCTATGTGGCAGAGCCTTTGATTCAAAAAAGCATGTAAACCTGTGCTTAACTTTTAGGAGATGCACGTGTAAGTCACCTGAAGTGCTACAATACGTGCTTCCCTTAAGACGCACACTTAAATCTTATTAAGCACAGGTTTCTGTGTTGGAGCCTCAGTGGGTGTTTGTTCTTCATATTTTTCAGACAAAATGAAAGATACTTTGTTTTTTATCTTTCTCTGCTAATATTTAATGGGGTGAGAGACATTGACTGAGATATCTGCTAAGATATAAAAAGAAAAGTGGGGTTTTAAGGTAGAGTAAGAAAGACTTTAGGTAATCCCTTTGTAAACCTGGTAGTTTGCAGTCAAGTAGTGTGCTCTTGATGGGAAGGAAATCAATAGAATTTCTGTACGGAGGAATAATAAATATATATTACATAGTTAATGCCCTGTATATAAATTGTATTGGTAATAACTTAACATAAATGTATAAAGCAAAGCATTGCAGTGTCATTTACGATGCAGTCATGATTTTAGACAGCAGTTATGACAGGGGAAAAGCATTAGCTGGAGAACCAAAATCTTGATTAACAATTTGACATGCTACTACTAGGAAAGGGAAAGAGAATAGAGAATGTAACAGACTGAGTCCCCAGCTTTCAACCTCCCTAAAAGTTTTCATTGGCACTTGTGCCTATCTGAGCATATGTGTTGTAGGTGCATCAGAGTCCACGTATTTGAACTTGAGCGGCTAAATTAGACCTGCTAAATTTAGGTTTAGGTACTTAATTAAATGGTCTGCATTCTCTGAGATACTGAATAGCCAGCGCATCTTTTAAATACAGACAAGCTGCCTTTTTCATGTTAAAGACGACATGCAAATTCAAAGCAAAGAGAACCAAATCTCCTCTGTGTGAAGGCAAGATGGCTGTATGTGGGTGCACGGGTAGGAATTTCTTAAGTGGTAGCTTTTTCCTTCGGGCTGGTTCCTTGTAGAGCTTTGACTCTTTTCCCATCTGAGCAGAGGAGCTGTGATGTATTGCTCCATACAGGTGATTTCAAGCATACAGAAATGACATTCCTTTTACTGTGCAGCTCAGTGCTCTACTCTCAGGAAACCAGTTGGCAAATTTTGCGGGGGATTTTTTTTTTTCCCCCCACTTTGTTTGTTTGTTTTTTAATACATGCTGCTACTTCTCTGTCCACAACAGAAGGAAAAGTTTGCTTGGATTTCCACATCCTTGATTTTAAAGAGTATTTTTACCATACTGGTATCTGTCTTCTAAAGTGCAGCATTTTAAAATATATTGCCACTTCCTTGGCAGCCGGGCGTGATGGGCTGGCCCCAGCTCTGGAATGAGCCCTGACCTGTGGGTAGTCTGGTTTTGCAGCCCAAGGGAGAATGGTGGAGGGAAGGGAGGTTGTCCCCAGTGAGTGGAAAAGGATGATATTCTTTATCAACTAATGCAACTGGCATGTAAATCCTTACCTCACAAAGGCAATTTAAGTATGTTTTGGGAGCTGAATCCTGCCTTGCTCTCCTCTTTATCTGTACACAACCAAAGCATGGTCTGGCCAGTTGTTTGCATTGGCAAAAACGAAAGTCCTTTTCTCTTCCCAAAAAACCTGTCAGCATTCTATGTAAATCACACAAAATTCTGTGGTCCATAGTAGAGGCTGTAATTTGTATGTGTGCTGGGACAAGAGTGTGGCTTTCCTCACACCAGGGACGCAGGCTTTGCGAGAAGCTGTGCCATAAAGCTTTGGCTGCATTACCCATGTAAAGGGGCACAGTTTTCTCCAGCCATTATTCATCTGTTCCTGAGGAGCACTTGTCTTCCCTGCCACATTATGGTAGTTCAGTCACACAGATATAGGGACAGGGAAAATAATATGTGCCGTAGATGAGCTCAGTGTCCCATTTCTCATCCTCATCTGCTGGAGGATCCCTTTTCTCCAGTGCCTGGAGTCGCCCCTGCCCGTGACAGACTGAGCCAGGGATTTCCCATTCACCCTCGGATCCACACAAGCGCTGCCTCCTGCACGTGGTGGAAGCGATGCCTTGCTCCACGGCAGCTCTGTCACGGAGCCCGTGACGCTGCTCGTCTGATACCACCGAACACAGCATTTCTCTGAAAACGCTGATAATTCAGATGAAGTGTTTTTGTAATCTGCATGGGCATCGGGAGAAGGCCTTTCTATTTATTTGTCATCGCTGACAGAAAATAAATAAAACGCTCAATGAGGGAATTAAGCGTGATGTGCTCCCTACTTCAGTGAGCAGGGTAACCCCTCACCCCTTCCCTCACGTGCCACGTCCTTGTGTCAGAAAAATAGCACATCAGGTTTGATTTATTTTCCTCCTTTCTCATACTATCTTCTTTTAGTCCAAATTTCATATTCCATAGCACATGCCCCGAATCGCAACATCTTTATCAGAGTTTTTTGTTACTGCAGATGACTGGTCACATAATATTGCCACTGGATACTCCAGGGGCTTCTGCTTGGGGATGTTGAGAGAAGGGGAGAGGAAGAAAAGGTCAATAATCCAATTTGTCTGAGGTAATGAAAAGGAACTCCAGTGATTTCTTACCTCTTTAGGCTTTCTGCTAGTGGGCCTGCATTAAAATTTCCTTGCTCCCCATTTTTGGTAAAGCAGAAACCATTTGCTGGTATAGCCGTGCTGCTGCCTCTGTGATCTGCGAGGTCCACGCATTGTTCTCCCTTGTGCTGTGAATTTGTGATTTTTCTCCACTGTGACGTCCAGTCCTTGATCTAGTCTACTGCTGGATTTTGAAACACTTTGTATTTCTAAGGGAGAGTTGGAATCATCCTCACTGTTTTAAGAACACTCGGAGGCTAAATGCTTTCTCTGTGTGGACACAGCGGGACAGTGGCAGAGCAAATCTGGGTTCCCGGGTACAGGGCACGGTGCAGCAGACATCGGTGGTAGCAGTCTTGCCCCACGCTCACTTTGGGCTCCTCATAGGTTACTTTTAGGCTTTTTTTGTGTACTGACCATACCAGGGTCTCAGATCTTTACTTGCACTCCACGTGCATTTTAGTGAAGTCAGTGAAATGGGATGCGTTATGTGCCTGTGAGGAAGATCCTCAGGTTCTGCTTTAGCATCCATGGCATTATAACTGAACATATGCAACACTGGAACTCTGAATGCTATTTAATTTTTTTTCATGCACAGTTCAAGTTTTTGGGACACCATTAATAAAGGAGGAAAAACCCAATTGTGCTGTTCAGTATAAAAGACTTTTATGCCTAAAGCAGCTAACCAGGAACAAATTTAAACAAATGGTCATATTAACACATTATGATTAACTCCATTGAACTGCCTGCGTTATTTTTTCTAGTAGAAAGGTTTGATTTGGTTTAAGTTGTAATTTGTAACCTAGTGCAGGCTTGCAATATGAATCAATCTGGCACTGAATCAAAAATTGTAGAGCCAATTTTCTAAAAGTGATATTTGCTACTTAGGTTCTTAAATCTAGCTTTTCCAAAAGTCTCATGTTCTACTTAGGCATAAGGAAGGGGAGCTTAGATTTTCAAAACAGCTCTCTGCCTAAGAATGCGTTTTACTCACAGCACTCAGTAGCTAAACTGTTCTGATATTTTTGCCAGTTTGCTTAAAGGATTTTTCTCTCTTAAGAATATGTTCATAAATTTGTGTACAGAAGACACTTGGAATTGACCCGGGATTTCCCAGGAATTTTTCATGAGAGATTTGTCTCTTACTGTTTTATAATAAATTGCCCTACCTGGAAGTATTTTTTTCTGAACAAAAAGCCCTAGTAAAATCACTGATTTCAAGTGATGTGCAGTCTGTTAAGTGAATCTGATAGAACAGTAAGTAGGTATGCAGACTAGATAGTCCCCAGAATAACAAATACAGAAATGGAACAAATTCTGCTGCTCTGTATCTTGCTTGAGTAAAGGCAGGTTGCAACTCCCTGCCTGTCAGTGTGTCGGTAGCACAGCTGGTATTTCATTTGTGCTCCTGGGACAGAGCAAAAGCAGAGCAGTTGCAGCATCTGATGAATCAGGAGAAATGTTTCGTTTTAACTAAATCTTAACAGAAAGCCTACTGTGGAAGGATGAGAATCAATATTATTAGTATGAGCAAATACTTTCTGATGGCAGCATGGACACAGTAATTTTGCATTGAGAGGTTAGGAAAAAAAAATTGTTTTTGAGGAGTACCTATGCTATTCTTTGCATGTCAAAAGTCTGTGCCAAACAAAAAAGGCTGAGATCTTAGATATATATTTAGCCGGGACAGATGTTAAAAGTAGCCCCACTGGACCTGGTTCTTCTGTGTAGTAGGACTCTATCCTGACTTTCCTTGTTATAATGAAGAGACTTTAAAACCAGTGTTTTTTTAAAAAAAGATAATTAAAGCATTCACAGGAAGGGACTTGAGTGCTGCTGTAGAAAAAAACAGGCCGTGTTGTTAATGAGAACCAGTGCATTATTTTGTGAGTCGCTCTGTTTGATTTCAAAGGCACAGAAGTTACCAGCCAAGGGTTATGAAAATCTAAGTCTCCTTGGTTGCAAGGTCTGCAGGCTCTTTGTCCTCAGTCAAATTTCTGTTTTGATACAGAAAATATCACTGATGTATTTTGCACCAGTATGAGATTCGAAGAAGGATAACTCATACTGAAACTTCTGCGCAGCACTTCCGTGCTGAGGCGGTAAAGGAGAATTATTGTGCAGGGAAGCTTCCAATTAAGCAGAAAAAGGAGTTGGTTTGCTTTTTGAAATAACATTTGACATATACATGGTAAAATATGAAAGCTATTAGTAGGAAGTTAATCAGTTCATCCGCCTGGTTTCAGGTTGTATCAGCTAGACTGAGTTGGTAGCTCATGCTCTGAAGTCTCCAGCCAGCTGCCATATATTAAAGGTACTTATGAAAGGGCTATGTGTTGCTAATAACCCTGACTCCCTTGGTCCACTTCACCTTTCATCTCAGTATTTGTTTACACAACAGCAAGTTAAGTTGTGTACTTTAGATACTGGTGTAGCTAAAGAGCAGTAATATTTCATTATTATTTTTCCTGGAGGAGACGTAGCTGTAATGGATGAATGTTAAACAACAAACTATGAAGTTTCAGCAGTATTTTACTGTCATTTGGATATAAATATTTGAAAAAGTACCTTTTAATGAATACTTCATTTAACTATAAAATGATAAAACCCCATGGATTTATTTATTAATTTCATTATTAGGGCTGTTCCCTGGCCTGAGCTCCTCTTACTAAGCCTTTAGGAAAGGTAATACTTGGCAGCTCTGGCTTACCTTGCCTTGTCCATTCCTAAAGTAACTTCAGATAATTAAATTCCCTGCGCTGGAGAACAAGGCTTTTTAAGCATTCTTGGTTTTGTCTGGCTTTAGATCTTAAATCTGGACTTGAAAAGAAACATCTTTTTTGTTTGGGTAGCTGTTCCTCCCCCTCTCCCCACTCAGAAAGTTGTTTTGGTTTTTTTTTTTTTTTTTTTCCTTTTTAAATCACTAAGGTTTGAGGTTTTTCTGCCCTGGTTTAGCTCTAAAATAGAGAAAAGGTTTAATACTTCAAGTAGACTAAAAATATTTTGCAGTTACATTGCAATCACATAGTTTCCAGTGCTGAAAAGCAAAAAGCTTGCTTAGTCACCTCTCAGTACATGTTCTTCTTATAAGGAGTTCTTATTTTAATAAATCAATGTAAGCATATAGAGTCAAATGGTAAATACATAGCTATAAATGGTGAAAAACACACCCTGCTTATAACTGTCATTACCCTCTTGTAGTCGTGTATGCCACCTGTTTAATAGGTCTCTTAGTTTCTGATATGTCTGTGCTGCCATCACGCCTAAAGACAGAAAAACACAGTCCAGGGACTGTCATGTAGAGGAGAAATTTATTTAAATACTTTTTGTGAGTGGATGTTTAGTTTGAAGTGTGATTAATTTGAGCCTGTGGATAAAACCTTAAATAGGGAAGCGAATAAGGATGTCAAGGTGGTTCTTTTGTTATTAGGAAATAATAATACTGGAGAACTGCTTACAAACCTACCAGGAAAAGGTATTGGGGTAAATAATTGTCTTCTAAAGGCACTGGAGTGATAAAGAAGTCTGGTTTGCTAGTATCTGAAGCAGACATCAGAGAGCAGAGTTCTTGAAAAAACAGCAAAATATTCTTATTATTAAGTCTTTACTTTTTTGTGTGCACCCTTCTTTTGGACAATGGTCTCTCAGATTAGCTGTGCTATTTGTAAAAGTCACTAATCAGTAGTGCAAAGGTGTGACCAAAATTAACAAGTCATCCCCCAAGCCTGCAGCTTAAACAAGGAGCAGGAATCAAATGATTGGACAAAAGTATAACAAACAGATCAAAGCAGCTATTTACCCAGAATTAAGCCAGTAGGAAAAATGAATTCATGCTGGCTTTAAATAGAGATAAAGGTTATTTAAGGTAAAACATGCTATTGTGGCAGGTTCTGTCTTAAAGAGAGGAGCAGAGTATTGGTGACTTTGTGGTGGGTGTTTTCACGTCATCTTTGCCACCGAACTGTGTGGTGCAGTGACTATTTGAATTCCTGACCAGAGCCTTTCAGCATCTCTTCAGCTGCCACTTTATCAAGGAATAATACCTGCTCTTACGTGGCCTCCAAAATATGAAATATAAGGGGATGATGTAGTGCATAAAACATACTAACTGTATAGTTTTAAACACAGCAGGAGTAAAAGGAAAGACTTCAGACTTGGTTAGAAACTCACTACCTTCTTTAATGTTGTCATCCTGAAACTGAAGCTATCATTCCTGAATACGAAGAAACGTGTCAAAGGAAGGGGTTTTGCCTGTTTTCTCAGACAGTGAAAGCAAAACAGAAAAGAAAAAAAACCCATATATTTTTCTACTGCAGTCTCTTTACATATCTCTGTTATGGACATTTTGAAATGATACAGAAGATGATAATGGCTAATCAGATCCTTTAAGTATAGTGTGGGAGTTCGAAAGGGAAACCACAAACTCTTTATCAATTCCAATGAGCTCGTGTTCAGTGTATTGGAAGAAGAGCTTTATGTCCTGATGTTTTTTTATCATTGCTCTATAATGTTCTTGGCAAGACTGTAGAAACCTTAGTATCTTCTTCAGTGCATCTGCAGTGGTTTCAGATGTAATTTCCAGCTCACGCACGTGAAGTGAAATTGCAGAGGTAGGGCATATCTATGGCACACCTGCCTTCTGCTGCCCTCCTGGCAGGACCATAAAGCTGGCAGTGATTTAAACCACTGAAGCAAGAATTGCTTGTGGATATCTAAGAGCTCTCTTCCTTCTCTTTCCATTTGAATCTACAGACATGTTTTGGACTTTACGCTGGACACATGAACTACATTTGTAAAAACATAGCGTTAATTTTTCCCAGCGAGGGAGTAATCAGTTTAAAGGAATTGAAAAAGGCTTTGAAGAGATGTGACAGATCACAGAATATGTTTGTTTTTCATGAGATCTGTGCTTCAGGCCAGTGAATTCAACCTCAGAAAGTCCCACCAGACTCCCCAATAGGTGATGCACTGAAAAAATGAATGAGGCTGCTTACATCTGAAATCTGATGTTCAAGACCGTGTTGAACTGGGGCCCTGCTTGGTGAAAACATTTCAGCATCTAAAGCCCAGCTGCAGTAAAGCACTTAGGCAAGTGGCCAGCACAAGTATATGCTTGTGCCCTATTGGTTTGCACAGAGGCACATAAGCAGATGATTTGAGGTGACTGTCTGCCCAAGAATGCTGGAACAGAGACTGAGTGTCCTCAACAAATATTGACACAGAGTATGGTTTTGATAATATTTCACAAAACCTGTGTGAGTTTGTCAGGTTTTTTCCTAATCATCATCATCATCATAATAGTAATAATAATTTTTGAAGGTTGGTTGTTTTTATGGACCCAATGACCACTGTTCAGGGCAAATATGAAGGATTAACGTCAAAATAAGTTTTGAACACTTCTGTGTGTGTGAATGCATGGGGTGAAGGGAGAGGGTAAGGTGTAGTTTCTGATATTTTTTTATTTTCCTTCCATCAAACAAGTCTTTTCAATTAGTTTTACTTAGAGCACAAGCTTGCTTATTTCACAGTTTAATGGTGTAAGATTTTTCTCAGTGTTTGCTACTGCCCAAAGCTTGTAGGCTTGATTCTCACTTGCATCGATTCTCATCATGCCATTCCAGCATTGCAAAGCAGCCTTTAAAAAGGAATTTCAATTCAAGTATAATGTAAGCAAAAGATTTGGTTTGGAGCAAAGACCTTAACATCTGTCCAAGTTCAGTTGGTACAATCAGGTCTAAATACTCATACGGCCTGGACCTACGCTAACAATAAATACAAAACCATAGAGATAAATACTACAGAACCACGGTTATGGATCTAAATTTTGAGCAGAGCTCATCTTTCATGAAGGATAAAACCTCTGAGGTGGAGAACTTTAAGAAAATCAGGCTGCATTAATCACCTAAAGGAAAGAGCCTCAAATCACTATTGGAGGCTTTGCCCATTGTGCAAAAGAAACGGCCTCGGACTTTAGCAACTGCCACGTGCTGGTGGTGGTGGGGACTGTACCTATGTCAGATGGCACTGTTACAAAGAGTGGGATAAGGGGCTCCATGCGTCTTCCAATGTTTCTTGACAGCTCTCTCCCTTCCAATTGCCTTCCAGGTGAACGCCCCTTCCACTGTAACCAATGTGGAGCTTCTTTTACCCAGAAGGGGAACCTGCTGAGGCACATCAAGTTGCACTCTGGGGAGAAACCGTTCAAATGTCCCTTCTGCAGCTATGCCTGCCGACGGAGGGACGCCCTCACAGGACACCTCAGGACGCACTCTGGTGAGCCCGCCTCGTCTTCTCTTCCCTCTTGTTTTTTCCTTTGCCATTACTGTTCAAGTGAAGCAGGTTGTGAAAATAACTCTGTGTTCCTGGCAGTTCTGGGTCTGTATCATCGTCTGCGCAGTTCTGGGTCTGTGTCATCCTCTTCAGATAGCGCAGCTCTGAACTTTGGGAAAGCCTTGATGTGAATCAGAAAAATTGTGGTTCAGCCACACCTCTCCTTTTGTGTAACTGGGCTCCTCTGCTGATGCTATCGCGTTTCCCTTTGAATGTCTCCTTGGGTGTATCCAGGCTTCGCTGGCAGATTGTTTTGACATTCTCAGCCCCAAAGTGGCTGTGAAATTCCAAAGATCGAAAAGAATAACTGTGTACTCTTGGAAGCCTGCTTTGCAGTTCTTACCCATTTCTTCATCTAATAAATGCCATATGTTGGTGGAGTTCATACTTGTTCATCTTGCAAAAACCTCCTAGTTGCATTTTTGATTCGGTTACATCTTGCTGTGAAGTCCTAAGTCCTGGCAGCCACAGCACTCATCCTAGAGCAGAAGGTGGCTAAGAGGCTTCGCGTTTGTCTTGCCTTGCCACTTGATAGTGTCATGTCTGTATCAAGTCTACTTGGTATAGTTTCTTGATATGTTCTAAAGAAATACCTGTTGCATAACTGCATGTTAGTAGTTACATTGGTAGCCCTGACGATCAGGATCAGATATGTTTCTATTCCCTGTACACTACACCACGCAGCTGCATTGTGCCCGCTTACTCATTTGTGTAGGACTCCTGAGTAAGATCTTAGCTTGCTGCATTTTTTATCTCCTAGGATGTTCAACTTTTGTGTCCAGGCCATTTATAGGAGACTGTGTTTTTCATTGTTGAATGAGCAGAGATAATTGGACTGGTTACAAGTGACAGCATTATAGATGAACTTTTCCGAGGCGTTAGCAAATGTGTGACTACAAAAACACAGTGGTTGAAGTGCAGCCACAGACAGAAACTCTGCATGTGAAAATGTAATCATGGAGCTACCCGACTTCTTCATATGCATTTCTTCTACAGGGTCAGCCTCACTTCAGTAGAGGTTTCTGTTTTGTGAGCATTAGATTGGTCTTAGGATACAGAGTTGCCTTGACATTTCCAAGTGTCAGAAAGGATAAGCTGGTAAGCTTCTCCAGGTAAACTTTGGAGTGCACAGGAGGCTGTATTGATGCAAACGTACTGCTGATAGAATGCATGAGCCTCCAAGGGTGTGCAAGTGTGGGATTAGGCTGAGAGAGAATTGCTTGAGAGTTGTCAGCTGTGAGGATTTGATCTGAAAGTCGGAAGGGAAAATGTCTGTGGAACTGTGAGGTGCAATTATCACACATCTGACCATAGCCGTAGTTTCAACTTGAAATTTAGTAAAAAAGAAAACATGATAAAAATATTCACAATTAAAATAAAAAAGCGAGTTGTGACATAAAATAGCCCACATTACAAAACATGAACATTGCGGTTGAACATTGTTTTCATAATATGAATATAGGTTTTGTTACCTAGATACAGCCATTGATAGAGATTGATTGTTCTTCCTGTGCGAAAAGCGCATGGCTGATGTTTCTGCTTTTTGCATGAGGATGAAATGTAAAGGTGTGCGATTTTCAGAAGGCACCTAAGCTTCTTGGGCATACAAGCTCCCCTGGAGTTCCTTCCCGAACTGACTTACCTGTGTTCAGCTGCACTCAATTTGTAGTTTTATGTTTTGTTTTCAGTGGAGAAAGTGTCACCCCTCTAAGCAATCAGCTACAACAGCTGTCAGCAGAGGGCCAGCAGGAACAGACAAGAGCTCCCACTGTACTCTCCAAGACAATTCTTAAAAGAGCACTCGCAGATGAAGAGTTAAAAACCTGAGATATTGCCCTAAAACCTGGCACCCACCTACATGAAGGTGAAATGCCAGTCTGAACGTGAGCATGGAAGTTAAGGTGTCTTTCCGTCCCTGTTACATAGGCAAGCTTGCTTGGTTTCCACATACATATGTGGAATCTGGTTCAAGGAGAAGATGGGTAGATGTTCCCTAGAGACTTTAAACAGTCGTATCAGTGTACTGTACAAGCACTTTCTGCTTTAATAAAACACACATCAAAGTAAGAAGACCTTGAAGGTATAGCAAATCTCGTAAACTTCATCGAAGCCCTTTTCCAACCTAAATGATTCTTTGATTTTATAAATGTTTACCTCTTCTGCTACTTCTGTTCAAAGAGGATATCAGATAAAATATAGAAAGAAGAGGTTAAAAACTATTTTGAAATATAAGAATTCAATCCAGTTTCAATCTGGTGCACTTACTGTCTAAATAGAGGTGAGTCTGAATATGTTTTTATATTTATAAGAAAGCTCTTTAGATCAGACCTTCAGCTGATATAGATTGGATTTACATCCCCTAAGCAAGGAAAGTACTGCTATTTTGCACCAGCTGAGAATCTGGCACATGATTTCATAAATGCAAAACCAATTTCTTACGTTGTATGTCCTTTTCCTCCTTAAATATGAAAGTGCTATTAATCAAAAAAACCCCCACTCTTTTCCTTCCCAAGAAGGTTTTAAACTACTCATTTTTTATGAAGGCAGAGTATTCAAGAAAGGAATTGAGGAATTTTTTTAATATCTTTTCTTTTTTTTTCTCCTTTCTAGTTTGATCTGTGAATTTGAAAGCACTTTGTTTGTGTCACCACTTAGTCAGCTACACCCTCTCACTACTGCCATTTAGTCAATTTTTCCTGTGCTTAGTGCAGGGTTTTCATGCAGTAAGACGGGAAAGGTGAAAAAATACGGAAATGTAATTGCAAGCAGAAATTAGCAGATGCATCTGAGAGAGATTTGAAATAGTTGAAACTACTATTAACCTTAAAAAAAAAAAAATGACAGCTTATTTTTTTTGCTTTGGATGGATTTTTTGTTCATGCCTTTTAATATTATTTCCTATTTATTTGAAAATGTTTCTAAGCATCACAATCCACATTGTGCCTCCCCTTCTTATGCACAATAATATCTTACTATATAAATGTTCCCAGGATGAGTGGTTAACAAAATATTACTTTGCATCTGTAATGCTGCTGCTGTTTAACCCTAAATAATTAAGGACTTATTTTGCAGTGATTTACTCCTGTGATTATTTACCTTTTACTGACATATGGAGTTCTGATGAACTTTATGTCTATATTTTCCTCCCACATGCAGCTTCTTTGATTTCAGAAGTATAATGATGCCTTCAGGACATCAGTAGGATAATGCCTGGGGAGAGATTCATGCACAGAATTACACCAAGAGTGGGCATGAGCCTCAAGGAACTTACAGGACTTTCAGATGTTGTTTTCAGAATTAACTGCATAGTTCCACAACACAAATAATACAGGAGAGGTGCCCAAGCAGGCTTCCAGGATGTGAGTGTGGAGGGCTGGAGCAAAAGTTGGTAGCCCCCTCCTGCAGGATGCACTTGACAAACCAGCAGGGATTGGCTTCACTTTGCCTACGTTTTGCTGTTTTTAAAGAGGAAAACATCCAGGCAAAGCCACTCTCCTGATGGCAGTCACAGAGTACCTGCTATCTCACCCTGAAACGTGCCCATCTTCTCTATCATCTCTAGAATTGCACAACGAGACAAAGGCAGATGCAAAACAGATGAGATGAATTCTACTGTAGGCAACTAATGAACAAAAACCAGAAGCTTTAAGGAAGACAGTTGATCTGACAGATCAGTCTGATGGTTAAAGCCACCTAGATGTTGACCTCCATGCTTGGAAAGATATGACATACAACCTGATGCTGTTTTACCCCGAAAAGCCAGGCATCCTCAAATGGGCACGTAAAATTAGCAGTTATGTTTTGACATTAATTTCTCTTGTGTCTAAAATGGAGCCAAGTCAGCCCTCCCCTCATAATGCTGTTGTCAACATAAATGCTTTGATAGTTCTTTAAAAAGTCAAGGCTGCAATGATGAGCAATCTGGAAGAGCCCATAGAAAACATTAGTGCATTGGTTTTCAGAGCAGGGCTTGGGTAGTAAGCCATAAATGAGGGATAGAATCACTGGTGAAGGGGAAAACAAAATACAGAATAGGTTTTGATTAAGCGATAACCATCCATCCATCCTTTGCATTAAGCAAGGATGCTCCTGTGGGCAAATTATGATGTGACTTTTGTGATTAAAAGACTGCCTTGTCGTGGATACACACAAACTGGTGACTTGAACCCTCCTCAGGCAACGTTAATTCTGGATTTTCCTAATTTTTCCTACTTATCTTGGCAACTTCAATCACGTTCCTTTACTGTGGGAGTATGTAAGTGTTATTCATATATGAAAGCAGTTTTATTGTTTATTTCTTCCTAAAAATCTAGTAGTCAGATCATTATTTTTTCCTGTCACAGAAGCTTTTTCTCACAATACATTTTAAAATTTGCTTCCAAGGTACTTCTTTCCTGTTTAGAAAATGCTTTTTTTCCCCTTTTCTGCTTTTAACAAATATTTGCTTTTTCCTCCCCCTCTTCTTCCTCCGTTGCTGCTGCACATTGTTTGTTACGGCCCAGCTCTTCAATAGCACTGAACTAATGGTATCATTTTATTTGCAAAAGAAAAGCAGTGAAGCATTTGTTTTGAAAAGAAAGGCTCAGGCTAAAACTCCCAAAAGCACAATCTTCGCAAACTATGTACAGTGTGCAAGATAAAAGGCATGTATAATTAAAAAGGTAAATGCCTTGTTCATGGAAAGGTGGTTTAGTAACTCTGTCTATGTTTCTTGGTTTGCAAGTCTATCTTTCTCATCTCTTCTTCTCCATAAAGACTTTCTTCTCAGCTCCTCCTGCTTGGTAGTGAGCCATTCGAGATGTCCTACATGCCTGCAATTGCATGGCTGTTGTCGGCAGAACTGACAAGTGATATCTGTGTGTGCGACTGTGCTCAGAGGCAGAAGGAACCTGGTTCCTAATTCTGACAATGTGCCTGACTCAATACATGTTTGGGAGAGTCGT